ATAACCGGGGGTATTTTCTATAGAACATTCATATCAAATCCAAAATGCAGCAACAGGTTGAAGTTCTAATTGTTGTGGGTTCAAAGTGATGTGAGATACAATACTATGTGAACAAAAATTTGAAAATGAATGTTAACAAAATAATATGTACCATTATGTCCGTATCTTCTATATTTAGTTATAAAGAGCAAGATTATATATTTGAATAATGTATGCAGAATATTTGCATACAAATATACTGAGCAATATATTTTTGGTTATTTTGAGAATTTGTTTATTTTGTATTTCACGTTATAGCATTGGCTATCCCGTAAATTATTTGTCAATTTATTTCTAGTGCTATGCAGCCAGTTAGTTTCTGAATATAGTAATTGCATTGTATCTGTCAACCAATGATCTATGTACATAACTGTATGCATGTATCATTGGCTGAAAATATCACATATTCTTACCTTATAGTATGCTGTATTAAAATATTCTTGAAATTCAAGACAATGAATGCTGTGATGTAGTTGTGCTATACGCTAGACGACGTGTGTTGTGAAACCTGGTATGAAATATTGGTAAATCAGCAGGTGTAACCTCCCTGTATAATAATGGTTGCAGCAGGTATGACATGGGAAGCTCTGTGATTATGTAATTTATATGCAAATTGCCTCTGCTTCGTATTTGGCACGTATTTTTGACGTGACAGCGACCAGTGGTCAAAATTGCTGCATGGAACCTGTTTACTGAAGCAGCATTGTTGTGTCGGAATAGAGCCAGCAGGTCAGAAATTGTATACTATAACATTTTGCTGTGAGAGCTGTGCACGGGGGGGGGGGGTAGTTCGTCTTTGAGGCCCATGCAGTAAATCAAGTTTCTATTGCATGTTATTTTATTTAAAATGTAATTGTCGTGTGTATATATATAGAAGCTAAGTTTCTTGGGTACCTGTCGTGTATATCTATATAGATGCACCGTTTCTCGGGGACCTGTTGTGTATACCTGCCGAGATGTAGGTTTCTCTAGCTCTTTCTGCACAAGTACACTGTTAGCCGCGTATATATCTTATTTTTTTGGTTCTCGAGTACCTTTTGCATTTAGATAAATTTCTTGAATATAGTCTGCATATATGAAAGAGAGCCACATTTAACTGGGTTTTCTTGCGTATTGTGACCGAGTATAAAATGTCTATAGGGTATCTATTGCGTATGTATCGCGTACAGGGACCTTCCATAGGGCTGTACTGACGACGAGCCCTCCCCGTATTTACATCACAATACATTTTTCCATACATCATGGTAGACCCTTCCGAATATTTCACCACTAGTCTTCTCTTCTCATCACAAATTTACGAAATAATCCAGTTTATATTTTGCACTTTCTTTCAGAAAATTTGGACAAAAATGGCAAAATTGTTGGGTAAAAACTGAAAATGTATTAAAATTGTGTCTGTTGACTTCAAAATTGAGGTTCATTTCCAGCAATATTGAATACAAAAAAAAGTTGAGAAAGTCTGGTGGTGAAAAGGTTAATAAAGCAGTGTAGTATATTTCGATATTACATTACTATGTTACAATTAGTTTGGGATGTGCAAAGTCATTGAACATCATGGCTGGCTATCACAAATTACGTCAACATCTCAATGCCTTGGTAGTTTTATACTGTATGTGTTGGATGATTGTCTGGAATTTTAATTGGAATATTTTTGTTTGTGTAATAAAACTACATATATGTAAGGCATTACTAATTCTCTCAATCTCAACTTGTTAACTCAATTTTATTGTCTACAATTTTATTGTCTACAATGTCATAACATTATTGTTCGTTAACGTAGCTACATTAACTTAATGATGTTTGACTCAAAATACAAAGTACAAACGCTTTGATCAACACTGTATTGTCCTGCAGTAATAACCCATATATAAATGTATTTATATTTCGATACTACAATGTATTTAATCACTTTATATAATATAATATTATTATTATTATTAATAACAACTGTATGTTGAACAGGGATTTTGTATATTGTCGTTGCAAAGGACTTCATTGAAGTTTTTACTCATTTCTAGAAAATCATCTTTGTAACAAGTATAGCGAATGCTTGAATAGAAAAATTACCACTGCTGCCACCCTCGAGATGTCTCTCAATTGTTTGTGAATTGTTAAATTACTGTAGGGCGTCAACACTTCCAGCTTAGAGCAGATATACTACATCCACAGTAGCCATTTTGCGTTCGCCGCATACAGCTCAACAACAAACAGCCGAGTTTATTATTGCAATAATTGACTGCCACACAGCAACTATCAAGAGGAAGATGTGCATAATATGTTCCAAACCCTAAAACGAAACATAAATCAGCTATGTATTTAGTATTCAACAATATGTGTACCCAAATATTGATTAAAAACAGTAAGTATATTGAATTAATATTTTATGTTAAATACATAAATTAATAAAATGGCTAAACGGAGAAGTAACTTTTTTAAAAATGTGTTAAATAATCTGTTTAGATGTGAACAGTAGATGATGGTTTATCGCAAAATAAAAGCAAAAGCCAGACAAAAACAGATGTGCATGTCTGTTTTATAGTGGTGCGTCACAGGCGTACTGACACATGTGTTGTGATATTGTAAATAATTGATATATTGAAATATAACATACCAATGCACGTGAGATTCCAATAATACTAAACATTAACAAGAATGTACCACCAATTGTTGCCGCGAATATGGACAAAATCATTGTTGAAACAATCTGAAAGCATGGAAGAAATAGTAACCATGTAGTTTTTGATTAATTTTACTTTTATTCAATATCCCGCTATCACCTATGCTAATTACATTATGCTAAAGGTAATTAAATATTACATATTTTGCCTTGTCGTAATTCCATTTTTTCTACTCTGTACCATGGCTATTACATTTTATTACTCTGTGTCAGAAAATGACAGAACTCTACACCCTCCCCATGGCTTTCCCCGTTGCTTATGGTGATATTTTCTCGAGGGATGCGATGTATTCGCAGCCGTACTTTCATGAGCGAATAATAAGACGTCTAATTTGAGTCACTGTCCGAATAAATAACTCGTGGACGTTTAGTTGTGGCCACGACAGAATCAGAACTTGAACTTGACGAGTGTGATACACAGTTTATGTTGAAGTTAAAAGTTTGCTCAATTGGCGTTGGCGTTGGTGATCTTTATTTGGAACTGAGTATCGGTTTAGACTGCTGACATTCGTGTGTCCACTTAGTTGTGCTGCTGTGTTTGTGGTACACCGGCGTCAAAGAGACGTTGAACACAGGTTTTACTTGCGCTGTGGGTACTCAGTTTGCTAGCTAAGTCCGCTGCTTTCGACTTTGACTTTATGATTGTAGTCAGCTTATTTATGCACATAGGTTGATTTCGGAACCATATATCCTTGGCGATGGAACATGGAACGTATTCAATTCCAAGGTAGAATGGCGCTGACGAAAATTTGTTTACAAAATAAAAATAGTTCGGTTGCCAATGGAAATACCATTTCATTTGCATATCGACCGTAAAAATACCGAAAACATTATTGCATGGGTAATATGCAAATTAGTTTTAGTCAAAATAAGTGACTGCTTAAAAGTATCATTACTGTTGTTCAAATTTCATTTCACTCCGCAATGTCTGAATTCCATGCTATTTACTCTGGGTCATGTCTAAATTACATTTTATTTACTCGGGGCCATGACTGAATTACATCTTATCATTACTGTGTCATGTCGGAATTACTCATACCAAAGTTTTGGCAGCGTTGACTAATGCCACTGAACTATTTTTGGATTGTGTGCATTCATTCATTGTGTACACAATGTGCACAAACCCTTATTAGTTGCATAAGTGTTAGGTATATGAATTGTCTAATTTTGATCACGAGAATATTGCAAAGTGTGCGCAAGGATGGATGTCGATGAGTTACTGAACTGTCAGAGTACATACTTTGCGGTAATGTTGTGATAACCTTACTATTATTATACATTCTTCATGCTTGAAGTAATAATATGAGAGGTGCCCGAAATGGGGGAAAAAAACTTTTGCATTGTGTATATCGCATTTATTTTATTATCACGTGTGCGCCAGTTGACTGCCGCATAAAACTAAATAAGAGACAAGTTGTGAAACGCGTTTTTCAGATTCCTACAAATCAAGACCAAAATTGTCATTCCAGCTCAGCAGCCAATCAGCGACGGCCTTACAGTTAGATGAAAATTTCGGTTTCAAATACACCGGGAAAGTATTCTATGTTCTTCGTGTAATCAGGTATTCGTATTTAAGGGATTTTTCCACACAAAAACGACGAATTCGGCCGAATTTGTAATCGGTTGGCTTAATATTACCCCCAACGGATCGTATTTATGTGACGGATTGGTATTTTTGTCTCTCATTTAGTTGTATGCCGCATTCAAGATGGCGTCCCCCATGTAGTAAATATCGCTTTTATTATATTATCACGTGTGCGCCAGCTGACTGTGCGTGTGTGTAACATTTTTCAAAATTTTATGGATGGATGAACTATTGTTTTCGGTGCCAGATGTATAATAATGAATCTGCCACCGCAACGCCATACGTTACAACGTGCCGTAATTTTGCGGTACTTTACGGTGTATTTTCATCCTACCATATTAGGAAATGCAAATTTCAAATATGGGACGATTGCGCGTAAGCGTCTTCTTATGATAAAAAAAAACGCGTCGATACTCCAGCTGTACTGTCTTCATGCATACTTTGAGGTATCCTCGTGATAATCTCATATTCTAATGTAGTAAATGGTATGTTTATTTTACTGGTGATAACAATACATGGTGTTCTACTATAGTAATATACTTACCAGTGATGTGGTTTTATTGAATGATGACATTACACTAATTGTCCCTGAAATTATAAACTACAAACAAGAATAATGTTTATTCTAATTATCGTCACATGAATTTGGGATAACCTGCATTTGAAACAATCCACACTTTGGTTTTATTTATTTTATTTATCTTTCAATCCACAAAAGTATAGAAGAATCTACAAAATAACCTAAACAATATATAGCATAACCTTAATGCTACAAAATAAACTATCTTGTACAATAAAACATGGATAATACAATATAATTAATCCTAAACGCAACGCAGATGTGATATTTAAGTTCAGTTTCAGCATTGAGGTCAAATTGTATATTGAACCTAGTGTGAACTTTGACAGTGTGTTGCATTAAAGTAAG